CTCCCCCCTTTTTTCCAGGCGTAAGATATTATTTGAACGTCCCCTTTAGCCTTTAGAGATTGTCTGGATGAATCGACCCATGTCTAGATTAGCCTCCTAGCCTAAGATTTAGTCTTTCGCAAATTTTTATACTAGATCTACCTGGTGCTATGGAACCAAGCAATCTAAGTAATCAGACGACCGTGTTTACAATTACTCTAGATCTAGATCTAGCTAGACTAGAAGATGATTCAGTCCAAACAAGACTATTGGGTCGGTTTGCTCGTCAGATTATGATGCAAAGCAGCCATCGTGGCACAAGTCGATCGCACCCGACTCGTTGTTTCAAAACAAACACGTTGTTTTCAGGCGACGAGACGGGCGATCATCCCGACCCGACCCGGTTCGGGTCACTGGGTAGTGGGTGGCGACGGCGGGCACCCCGTAGAGCAAAAAGGAGCGAATTGTCCCCCTTGGCGTCGTCATTTTTAGTTGTGGAAGAAAATTTCGGTGTTTTTAATGACAATTTATTAGTATTTTCCCAAATTTAGCGGGAAATTGGCTAAAATTCGCGAATTCACGAAAATGGTAAAAGTTGCGCAAAAGTTGCTCTGACGGCAAAAGTTGCGCGCGCGAATTCCTCTGAGGACAGGATACAGGTGGGCCTAGCGATAGCATCGGCCGCCTCGCGGGTCACGTCGCGATTGTCGGATTTCAGACGATTGTCGGCAAACATGCAGGTCTATCAGGCATTAAAACAAATTTTTGTCAAAAGAAAAGAGTCCTTGACATACTGTAAGTAATGAGACACACACATGCATGTAATTGTAAAATTGTGAAACAGCACAGAGGATTAAAGCCCCTTTCAACATTGTAAGGTTATTTCAGAGGTAGGACCTCTGTAATAAAAGTAAATCTCTGATATGACAAAGCCAAATAGGTGGAGAGTCTTAAAAACACATCAAAATGGACAGACATGTGATTAAACAGAGTAAAGAGATAAAAGATCCAAAGTAAAACAACTGACAATACTTGAAAAAGAACATATTATATATTCTTATGCTAATTCTTTACCTTGATCTTCATCAGACAAAAGCGGCCGTGTACTAGAAGCAGAGTCACTCAAACTACCACGAGTGGAATTTCCATCATCTTCCTCCTCCTCCTCTTCATCAATAACCGATTCCTCTCCCATGTACGCTGAGAAGTCCAGATTTTTCTCTCGATTCCATGTGAACTGAGCGGCTGCACAAAAGAAGTCACAAAATTGGTATAATTTACCCTTCTAACATAATGAGGATGTGCACTCTATTTTATTCGACAATGCTGGAAGACACACTTGCTTTGGGGCACTTACTTAAAAAAACAAAAACAAACTTTGTTATTGACACAGCTTTTTCAATTCTTAGCTTTGGTAAGTTTACAGAGTTTTACAAAGTGCTCACATATGGTCAGTTTTCACATTGGAACACAACACAACTTAGTTTTTTACATTGAGAACAGTTGCAGCTACAAACTTCATGGCAAAATTTCAGTTTTATAAATAGTTTACATTTATAAAATATAAATAGTAAAATTCTAAATTCTCCATTCCATTTTCTTTTTCTGAAACTTTAAAAGGTGAAAAAGGAACAGGCCATACTATGAAAGTACCCTGTTCCTAATATGTATTTGAAATATGCGGCGACATTGCCTTTTGTCTACTGCTGATTAGACACATGTGTCTGCTATGTCCTTTAAAAGACAAGCACAGGGTCATTATACAAGAGACCACACCACGAACATATAGACTGTTTATCAATGATAGACCCACAGGACCTATAGATCTAAGCTGGGCAAGAACTGAGAAACTCCTTAAACACATTTTAAGTTCTGAAATGTCCCCTAAAGGGCACAAACAAAACAATACTAGCCCTGCACTGTTACAATTCAGCATCAAACCATAATAAAGTGAAACGCTGCAACTTGAAAACAAAAGTTGATGCAGGTTTCTGAATTTCTCAAAAGTTTAGGCAATAAATTTATTGGTCCAAAAAGATAAATTTAAATACACTGGAAGAACAGAAGAAAAAAAAAGACTTCCAAACCCTGATCAGAACACAGTATGTTGGTCACTTGTACAACATAGTCATCCCCTGGCCATGAAATATATTATATTATGTATACATAGTAGTGAAATAGATGAATATATAGGCTTGTAAAAAAAAGGACATCCTGACCTCAAGCACATTATGATGCACAATATGATGCCAAAAAAATAGACTGACCTGTAGAAGGGGATATACAGTAATTGTCCTCAACAGATCTTGAGTACTCTTCATCTTCGTCATAATACTCTGAAAGAAAAAATTCAGGAAAATAATTCTCATACCCTATTTGGTAATAGTTACGCTTTGAAGCTGAAGATAGTAGCGCACAAACAAATGTCACGATCATTTTAAAAATGAAGATTCCAAACAAGGGAAAAATGTTCCCATGTTCCAAAAGTATTGTTCCCCACTTAATGTTTATAGGAATTTGTTTTTAATAAAGGTTCATGACAGACACTTTGTTGACTGCTTCTTTTTTTTTCAGTCCATCCCCTCTTCACTTCCATAAAAGTATTAAGTCCTAAGATATTTGACCAACCCCACCCACCCACCCACATATACTTTCATGAAAGGGCAGTCTTAAAATTTATTAACATCACCCATATTACTTGATTCAACAATCCATGCAAACTGCTAGCTACTGCAATCTGCAAAGAGCCTAATCAGGTGTTACGATAGCATGATACAGTTTGTAGCCCTTGAAAAGGTTGTATGTATAATATACATATAGATAGATTTTTATATAAAAAAGTGAATCCATAATCTAGGGTTCTTTTTACTGAATTGGAAAGCAAAGAATGGTGTTCTCATTATTTTCTGAACTGAGGCATTTTGAGAAAAATTATCAGGATGTGTAAGTGGCCCTTCTAATAATAATAATTGCATCCAAGCGCAGCAGGCGTGAGGCCTAGCAAGGGATTTCCGGGGGCATGCTCCTTATAAAATTTTGAAAAAATTAAGGCTTCTAAACAGCCATCTGGAGGCATTTTCAGCTTTGAAAAGTAAAATATCAGACCAAAAAGAATATCTATATTGTCTTTTGAAAACAGATAGTAAATCAACTGGGTATCACTTAGGCCTACCCAAATATTGAGATCCACGGGCTTCAGGATTGTGAGGCATCCGGCGGCAGGAAATGCGTCGCCTTTATCCTACTCTGCATTTCCGTACTTATATTGCCAAAATAGTAAATTTTACTAGATTAGAAAAAGTTTGTCGACCAGAGACGTTTGGTCGGAAAAAATTTGAGTCTAAATCAAAATTGCAACCGGAACATTTACATGTCTGAAATTATGCCCCTCTGCAAATTTAAAAAATAGTTTGTTCACTTTCTGCCCAAGTTAAAAAATCTAACTCACGTATTAATTATCTATGCAAATAAAACTTTGCATGGCACTCTACAGGCCAGCAACTAAATAAAAGTGTTGTTTTTTTTTAAATCATCCAGTAAAAAAAAAGAGCCTCTATTTGGGCCTTATATTAAAAACCGCTCTTTGGGTGCATATACACGATCACCAAAATAAATGATTTACAGTAATCTTTTTGGGACACTGATACCACCCTGCCCATTTATTTCGGGGTGTAAAAACTTGTAGATTTCATTCCATGACAGCCATATGTCTGCATTTGAGTATCGAAAGCACTCACTTGTCTGTTGGACCTTGCTTTTTAAGCTTACATTTAAATCACGTGCTGTTGTTGAAAACAGGTTACATTTCTAATGAATAAGGTGTCTGCTGTAAATCCCCTATTTACCTCTATATTATCATTTTTACCTGCTTTTGGCTAACTGACATCAGTGAAAACGTGCCCGAACCTTAGGTTACTTGTAGTACTAGGCCTACGTCTAATTGAAAACACGCCAAGTTGGTAACGTAGCTCTAGACTAGATGCTCGTCCAATGAAATTAGTTGAGAACAAATTGACCCATTAGACACACATTATCATGTATTGCTAAAGATAGATCTAATCTAGATCTAGAGTAATCGTACCGGTTTGGGCAGCACGTTTTTTTATTGCTGTCGGGCACTGGAGTACAAAAAGATCGTTTAAATCTTTGTTTTCAAATCTAGCCCCAAAAGAGTGGCACACAAACTTATGGCAACCTCCCTTACTTTCGTTGAAACAACAGTTACGGCGATATTTTGCTAAAAATAGTCCTTCAGACAGCTTTTTCTTCATCAACTGAGCAAAACAGTGTGAAGCTCTTTCCCCGGAAGAGTTAACATTGGTTGTGGATGAAGGCGCCTGTGACCTAGATTCTACGTTTTGGTAGACTCTGAAGGCTGGAGAGTTATTTGCATATGAGGCCCTGTCAAGGATGAAAGAGAATTTGCCGTTTAGTCTCGCCGTTTTTGCCCAAAGGGGGGGTGCCCGGATTGTAACATAAAATCCGTAGTTTCTCATCCTTCGGGCACATAAGATAATATAGAGCCAATGGTTATATAACAAAGAATAAAGAACTTGTGCATAATTTAAATAATAGAGTCAGATACAGCATATTAACTCAGTCAGACACCAGTGTAATAGAGTCAGATACCAGTGTGTAATACAGTCGGATATCAGTGTAGCAGAGTCAGATACCAGCCAGTGTAGTTGAGTGAGCCAGATGCCAGTGTAGTAGTAGAGTCAGAGTCAGATACCACGTAGTAGAGTGGGTCAGATACATACTCATTAAAATAGCTATAAATGGTGAATACCACTTTAGACAAACTATCATTGTGTCCAAGTGTTGATAACAAACATTAAAAATCATGTTATTAAGCTTGCAAAGAAACAAATGTGATAATAATTAAAAATGACCGAATGTCAAAATACTGCCCGAATCCATGAGAAAACCAAAAAAATGCGACCGAACTCGTAAATAAATCGGGCGTCACTTTTGCACCCAGTAAGGGCCTCAAACATGAGAACAAGCTGAAACAGGTCATTCCTGGGGTCATCCAATCACATGACTTCCTGTAGCTGGTTTCGGTTTGTCTCTAGGCTCTAGGGCAAGGCAGATAGGAGATATAAAGCTTTAAAGTCGACGTGCCTGTTTTCGTCCTTATTTTGACCGAACCGGTAATATTACTCTAGATCTAAATATAGATCTAGACTAGATATAGATAGTGTTGTTTTGAGACTTGACACCACTTCACTCGGTGGCAATTGACAAAAGGTCTATTTTTGTCAATTGCCACCGTGTCACTCGGTGGCAATTGACGCTAGATTCGGTAAGATTGTACTTTACCGGACCACCGGTCGGAACTACTTTCGCTATGGCGCCCCTGGTGCCTAGTGGCACTACTAGTGGCCCGCTATTCTTCGTTTATTCTTCGTAGCTCCCCTACTCACTCTCCTACTGAGTTTTCTACGTCCTCACTCTTCAACTGCCAGCAATCGACTGACGTCTCTTACCGGGTTTTTCAGTCATCACGACCGTGCCACCGTGCCCTTTGACCCATGACCCTGACATCTTGAGGCTAATTGGTCAATCTAATCACGTGGTCCACTATTCTTATTTGCTCGCAACTCTGCTGGCCTGGCCTAGGCCTACTCCTGGTCCGGCAAAGTACAATGGAGGGCTAAAGATGCACACGAGAGCTCATTTGCATAATTGCAACCCCCTCGGCCCTGCTCGCGACTTGGCGAGTATCTACCCCGATTGTCCGCTCATACTCATGTTATTGTTTATAATATGTGTGTGTCAGTGTCTTTAAATTATTGTTGCCAGGGGGGCTAGCCCCCCTGAAACCCCCCCTCCCCCCACTGTTGTTACATTGATATGTAAACACGACTGTCCGCTCATGTTATTGTTTCACATTTTTGTGTGTTTTCTTTATTATAGTTTCCAGGGGGGCAAGCCCCCCTGAACCCCCCTCCCCCTCCCCACTGTTGGTATGATACACAGTGGTTCCCCAAAGTTAAATCCCCTGCCCACTCTCAACCACCAACTCTCGCTCACCTCGCCTCGCCAGTTGCCGCTGGCTTGCGCTGTGCGTGAGCGAAGTCGCCCGCGGAACTACCTTTTGTCCGCACGCAGAGTACTATGACTATGACATGAGAGCGTAGTTAGGCTAGGTGTGCGTAGTAATCACGGACCGAGACGGGTGGTCCGGTAAAGTACAATCCAGCCGAAGCCCTAGATTCTACCCCTAAAAATAGTTTGCGTCTTTCTACGTTTAATCACATGTCTGGGGTGGAGAAGGAAGGCGGGCAAACTTGTCAACAAACTCAAACACACGACGAAATCAATTCCTACTAAAAAATATGGTATCTTTTGTTGCAGATAGGAACTCACCATCTTCGTAATTCATAGAACGCACTATTCTATGCCGAGACATCCTGGAGCCCTATTACTGTTACATCAGTTTATACGCAAAAGATAATATCACATGTTTTCGTCCCGCGTCAAATACGACAAGAGAATGCTTTGTTGACGCAGCATTCCACCAAGACCAAGATGAGGAAACATTGAACCGGAAGTATCCTAAAGAAAATGGCCGAACGAATGTAAAAGTAGGCTAGAAAGCGTGTTCCGTGCATTGACGAATTAAAAGAAGCTAGCGCTGCTTATGACTTCCGCTTTCGTTTTCAACAGCGAAACCCGAAACGGAGAAGTGTGTAGTGCACAGAATTCTACACTAAGTATAGAATTCTGTGGTGTAGTGTAATCAAGGAGATTAAAAGTAGTTCTAAACTCCTTGAGTGTAATGCGTTTAAGTTCGATCGAGTACGAGTAGGCTAGGCTAAAACGCGTTTATTCTTTGTCTTTTTGTTGTTGTTGTTGTTGTTGTTTTAATCCACTAAATCTCATCTGTAAGTTAGATTTATTTGTACTCACAAAATATTTTGTCGAAAGTTGTAGGCCTATTCTGAATGTTGATAAAAATTATAATAATTATGCACATCTGTATAGTGTATAGGTGTATAGGCTAGTGGAAATCGGATTCAAATTCAATTAAAGGAGATGGATTCCACCGGAGGGAGTTTGTTGTTTTTATGGGTCTCCTTTTTTTTATTCATTAAATCTTTTTTTTTTTTTTACCCGGTTTCAACGAACACTTGAATGAGCAAGCTCAGATTCAGCGAGGTCACTTGCAAAGAAACAGAGAGAGTGAGAGGGGGAGTGTGTGTGTGTGTGTGTGTGTGTGT